GCAGCGTGGGTGGTGTCAGGGACAAGGCGCCGTGGCCCGAGGGGAGGCACAGGAAGACACATGGGGCTGGCACTGAAGGATGGGTGTGCATTTGCCGGGATGAGGAGGCAGGGGGCATCCCAGGCACTTGGGCTTCAGCTGGGGCAACTTGGTGCCGAGTACAAACTGCAGGAGGGGCAGGGCTGCCCAGGGGACAGCAGCGAGGTCCCTGAGGACTCAAGGACTCGGTCTCCAGTCCCCTGCGGGCCGCTGAGGGGCTGGGGAGCTGGGAAGGCGGGTGGAGAGTGACGGGGGTGCAGGGAGAGCAGGTTGGGACATTGGAAGTTAGGCAATGGGAGGGAACGCTCGTCCCTCTCCTTGGCTCTGAATTCCCTGAGGCCAGAGTCTGGGCTGAATTCAACACTTGGCTGGAAGAAGGGGGCGAAGGGGGAAATGAGGGGGAGGAGGCTCCAGAGAAAGGGAAGTTTTGATGCACAGAGCACAGTCTGGTGAGGAGGTTTAACTGGGAGAACTCTCTTTGGAAAAGAATCCTATTTCCGAAGGCTTCTTGTCTTTGGCAGCCCTTACAAAGCAGATTCTGAGAATTATCCATGCTTGAGTAAGTCTCAAGGTAGTGAAATTACAATGATTAAAATAAAAACAATACCAAACTGCAAAGTAAGCATAGGGAAGGCCAGCAAAGCTTTGGCTTTGCCATTTTTTAAAATACCAGTTTCTTTCCAGAGAAACGTGCTAAGCTTGGCCTGTGTGTGCTGGGGCAGGAGGCCTGAGGATTTGCCTCGGGTTTGGGACTGAGGGCCAGCAGGTGGCTGGCGGCTGGTGTCCCTGTGTGGCCGGAGGGGGAGCAGCAGAGCCTGGGCTGTGAGTGCAGAGCGCACACATTCACGCACTGGAGCTGGATTCGGGTTGGCCCCTCTTGAGGTCGGGGAAGGCAGGACACGGGACAGACCTGTGGGCGACCTGGCAGTGGCCACACATGGAGGTCGAGGCTGCAGCTGCCGAAGAAGGTGCCCAATCCCTTCCAGCGGAGGCCCCTCGGGCCTGACTCTATGAGGATGTATTAGTTAAGAAGAATCTGGAAGTGGGAGGGGTTTTGGTAAATAACTTTTCTTTGGAAACAAAGGAAGGTCGATGCATCTCGTTCTGTGGAAACCCAGGATGGCCAGGGCAAGGGTGAGGCTTCTGAGGTTAGTGGGGGTACTCTGGACAGTCTGAGAAATGAGCACGCTGCCTTGTGTTGACCCCTTCCCCTTCCTGAATTCAACACAAAGCAAGGAGGAAAGGTCCCAACATGAGACTTCAGATCCTGAGGGGAACATTATTCCCCCACCCTTAGTAACTGCTTAAACAAATATCTGAAATCTCGTTAAAAACTTTAAACCACCCCTGCCCCCGCCAGGCAGGGACAGCTGTGTTCGGATATTACGTTTCCTGTCCTCATGAGTGACACTGATCCTTTGTAAATAGTTCTTTATTATGAGTTTATATAGCGCTTGATACATAAAATATATTTTATTTAAAATAGTTCAACTATTTCCAGGCTGTAAGCAGCTTGTTCTGCTTCTTGCTAAAATCGTGTTCACATTCCAGCCCTCCGATGGGAGGAGACCACTACTCCACACAAACAGGAAGACCCAGTCAGTAGCTGAACGGCGTCCTTACCAGAGTTCTAGCAACTTCTTTTCGGAATAAGGGAATGATTCTAGATAATCCTCGGTGAAAAATAAATGCTATTCTCTTAGGCCAGTAATAACGTGGGTTCCTAGATCCCAACTCCAGTTTGGCATGTGGAAGTCACCTCCCCTCGACCTCCTGCCCTGATTGCAAGAGCCACGGCATTCCAGAAAAGCTGCAAACCTCACGCCAGGCCCTGTTCGGCTCTCGGGCTGTCACGTGGCTGGTGGCCCGTTCACAGACTTCTCGAGCACAGGTCTGGGCCTGCGGCACCTCATTCAAGCGCAGGGAGCCCGCGGCGGTGGAGAGGGCTCAGCGGTCCCACTCGTCGCCGGGACCCTGCTCCTCGCTGTCCTCCTCCTCCTCCTCCGAGTCGGCGGACACTCTCTTGATTCTTTGGAGTGCCGCCTTGATACTTCTCTCCAGGTCGCTGGTCGGCTTGTTGCTGGGGCTCAGGCCGAGGCCGGAGTGAACTTTCTTCAGCTTGACCCCCCGCCGTATGGCGGCCAGAAGCTGCTCATTGAAGGAGGCGTGGGGAGGGGTCAGAGCGGGCGCGTCCACCCTCTGCAGAGGGCTTGTGCCCCTCCTCTGGGAGGCCAACACTTCATCCATGGATCCTGAAACGGAGCAGACAGAGCAGGTCCGATCAGGAAACCGTACCATCTCCGCCCAAGATGCCAGGACGTTCAGTCACACCCCAGTCAATAACGCGATTTCAGCACATCGTCGTTCCATTACACAGATGCTTCGATTACCGGCCAGGAAGGCCAACCCCAGGCTCCGTGTGAGCGCAGGGTCATCCCTCCTGCCGCCCCCCGGCCGCCCCCCGGCCGCCCCGTCCTCGAAGCCGCAGCAGCTCGGAGGCACGGTCACGCACACGTGTCCTCACAACGGCTGCTTTTCAAGACACCGAGGTTATCTGTGTGCTCCTGAAGCCTGGGGGATCCCTGGGCTACGGATAATCTGACCCAGTGTGCGGGACGGCGGCAGGCAGGCTCTGGAAACTGTATCTCCTCCAGTCTGCTTCCTACTCTTCAGAAAATCTTTTCCTACCGGGCACCTGCCGTGTTTCTCTGACTTCACTCTTGGGTGTGTCGGTGGTGACTCGTTCTGTGACAGTGACAGGAGGAGGTTTGCACAGAGGCTGAAAGGAAGCTCATCCCTGACAGTGAGCCTGGAGGAGGCGGCGCTGGGACCTCTCCGCACGCACCGCCTTCGTTCCCCGCCCCGGGAGTTACCTGAGCCAACGGGCAGCTTCTACCTGGGAGTGTGCGAAATGCTGTCAAAACACAAATGAGATCAGAGTCTCAAGGCCTTGGTGAGAAGAAGCCATTTTTACTCAGGCACCTTGAGACCCCCGAGGGGGTAAAATCCGTGACCGCCTGCTGGAGATGGGGGCGGGGCTGTGGCCCCTAATGTAGAGATCTGGTGGGGGGGGTGTCCTGCAGAAGGAGGAGGAGTTCCTGGTTTGGGATGGAGAAGCCAGGCGAGGACTGACAAAATACTATTTCATTTTAGATTTAAATCCATGATAGTTCCCTTCCAGGAGTAAGAAGACCAAGTGTCACACCCTGGGGCATCTTCAGGGGTTAAGTCACATCTTCTGATTCTTTGCAGTGAAATGAGGCGCTATGCGTGCGCTGAGTAGGGCCTCCCGACACCGCATGTGCATTAGCCCTGAGCTGGGGTGAGCGCCCCCGCCCGAGGTCTGCCCACACCCAACCTGCAGGCTGAGGCGTGCATGCTCTTGCTCCTCATTCACACTATGTTGTTGCAAACCCCATGCAGGTGGGCCGGTTGCTCTCCATCTAAGAGTGTGGCCATTTTCGTTTGTACCTGCTTCTGGGTACGGTGACTGTGAATTCAGAATCACTGGAACCACAGTTTGGACCGGTTCTGTTTAGATGGTCCACACTGCCTACTGCAGCAGCCTTGCCCATCCTCAGTGGAGGCGCTCGGACACAGTCTTTGTAACGGAGGCCCACAGAATTCTGGGATTTATCTAACCTTCTCCCCCCTGCCCAAAGCAGCAGGCTCTGAGTCTGGGCAGAGGGATTTAAGCCAGTCCCCAAGAGTCAATGTATCAGCCATAATTAGAACTACAGGTCAGAGTGACAGCCCTTGTTCAACAAAGAATATTCATGTGTATTCAGTGTATCGTACTTGCAAAGGCAAAACGGGGTCTGCTGGTTTTTTTGACCACTTCATTTTAGAAAGATCTTCCAAAATACAGATTCTCAGTCTACCAGTCTGTAAGAACAGCCTTCTGTATTCTAATGTTCCTCGACAATAATTCCCAACCAATGTTCAGCTTAAGATGCAACAACTAAATTCTGTAAATGACTCAGAGATGCAACAGTAGGCTTAAGCAATACCGAGAAAAATCCCAGTGGCAGAAATCAAACGCATACTCGTGTCTTAAGAACCTGAAACGGGGGCGCCTGGGTGGCTCAGTTGGTTAAGCGACTGCCTTCGGCTCAGGTCATGATCCTGGAGTCCCGGGATCGAGTCCCACATCGGGCTCCCTGCTCGGCGGGGAGTCTGCTTCTCCCTCTGACCCTCCTCCCTCTCATGCTGTCTCTCATTCTCTCTCAAATAAATAAATAAAATCTTAAAAAAAAAAAAAGAACCTGAAACGGGGGATTCTTTAACAGCGACCCCAAGTCATGGGACCATTAAATGTACAGAGATTGTTTCCTCAAGATGAGTTAGTGTTAGCGTTTAGCAAACTCAGATTCAGCCTGTGCCAACTCTGCAATAAGAGAGCGATAACTTAAGGCAGCCAATGCTGGAGAATTTTAAGACTATAGAGAATTCTGCAAAAGATTTTGATTTAAGGGTGACTGCTCCTACAGCGAGAATGCTCCAGCCAGCCACTCGAGAACTGAGCGGGCACAGAACCCCAGCAGTTACCTGGGACTTCGAAACCGGCTGAGGAATAATGCACTCTTCCAGCGGACGGCTCAGACGATTCGCACACCAGGGGACGTGGCTCATCGGCTGTTACTAGAGTCCTCAAGTGTAAGTTCTGGCGATTCGTGGACGGAGAAAAAGAAAAGGGCCGAGCAGGGAAGGGCAGTGGGGGAGGGGGAGGCGGTGGGGGAGGGGGCGGGGGAGGGGGAGGCGGCGGTGACAGCTCCTCACTAGATCTGCAGTGTGTTTGATCACCAACAGCAACAGCGCTCTGGACAGTATTTCCAGAGCCGTGTGGATCCTCGGGGGTTTGCGCATTACTGACTTCAGAGAGGGGCACGCTTCGGGCCTCCCCAGAGGACGGATGGCTTCCGGCGGCCGGCGGAGAGGTCTGCGGGGAAGGCCCACGTGGCAGGCATGGAGCTGCAGGTTCTGAGCAAGGGGTCTTTAGTACAGACCCACCTGGACATCTCTGAAAAGGAAACACTGCTGTGAGAAACTTGCCACAGTGCAAACCGTCAGAATGCTCAGAATGCGGAAACGTGCTGTAAGTAAACGCCAACCCGCCTCTGCATGGATGGTTCTCATTTGCAATGTGGCTCCTTCTCACTCTGGACAGCCACCCTTGCTCCTAAATCTATTCCTAGGGAATAAGTATTCCTTTGATATATAATGCTTCCTCTGCAATAAAATAAATATATGAAAATATGTGCATATATAAAAACATTCAGTTTTAGTATAAAAATAACACTCGAAGTAACAATTGGAAGTTAGCTGAGAAAATGATGGTGAATCTATTTAAAATATTAGGAAGCAACGAAAAATCAAACAGTACACAAAGTGGGTGAAACATTCTTAAAAAATACAGATGATACAGTGTTACATTTATAACCATGTAAAACAACAGCTGTATGAAAAATTCCCCCCGAGTGGACCTCAAAGTGACAGGTGTAACATGTCTCTGCTCTTATTTTTAGGTTTAGAGTAGATTTTATAATTTAAAAATGTAAATTTATTTTTTTTTAATTTTATTTATTTGAGAGATCTAGAGAGCACAGCAGGGGGAGCGACAGAGGGAGAAGCAGGTTCCCCGCTGAGCAGAGAGCCCAACGCAGGGATCCCAGCACCCCAGGATCGTGACCTGAGCTGAAGGCAGACGCTTAACCGACTGAGCCACCCAGGTGCCCCTAAAAATATAAATTTACAACATTCTGGTCTCTTGGGTATTAACTTTGATAAAGAAAAACATAACCTTACCAAAAAAACGAATCTTGAGTGGTGGGAGGGTGGTCCCTAATGAAGGCATTAACTAGCCAATTGGAAACACATAAAATGTAAATACTACGTAGCCATTAGAATGACCTAGATTTATATATATTAACATGAATACATTTCAAAAATGTAATTTAAGGTGGAAAAAAACTGGCAGGGGCTGTATGTAATGTGATAATACTAATGTAAACTTAGTAGTAATATACCGCAAGTGTAATTCATGATAAAACAGAGTCGGGCATACCTTATCTTATTGCACTTTGCTTTAGTTCACTTTGCAAATACTGCATTTTTTTATAAATTGAAGGTATGTGGCATCCCTGTGTCAGACAAGTCTATCGGGGCCATTTTTCCAACAGCATTTGCTCACTTCATGTCTCTGTATCACATTTTGGCAATTCTTGCAACATTTCACATGTTTTCATCATTACGTTTGTTATGGTGATATGTGATCAGTGATCTTTGATGTTACTATTACATTTGTTTTGGGAGGGGCGCCTGGGTGGCTCAGTTGGTTAAGTGTCTGCCTTTGGCTCAGGTCATGATCTCAGGGTCCTGGGATCGAGCCCTGCACTGGGCTCCCTGCTCAGTGGGGAGTCTGCTTCTCCCTCTCCACAACTTGTGCTCTCGTGCTCTCTCCAGATAAATACAATCTTTAACAACGAACAACTGTTTTGGGACACCCAAACTGTGCCCGTGTAAGACAGTCAACTTCATCATGGTCTTGTTCTAGGAAACGGCCACAGCCCACCTTCAGCAGCCACCACCCTGAGCCGCCAGTGACCTGGAGGCAAGACCCTCCACCGGCAGAAAGACCACCACTAGCTGAAGGCTCAGACGATTGCATTTTGAGCAGTGAGGTACTTTTAAATGAAGGTATGTACATGGTGCTTTGCACACTTAACAGATGACAGTATAGTATAAACATCACTTTCATATGCGCTAGGATACCAAAAACTTCACTTGCCTCGCCTTCCTGGGGGGTCTGACCCCTGCACAGTCTCCCTCCCGCATTTCTCTGAGTCTTCCCACGGCAAACAGGAAAGCGCTGGCAGCAAGACCCAGACCTCACCAATGCAGTCAGTCGCTATCATGTAGTGACTATGTGACATAGACAGAACCGGGGTCCCGGAAACTCCAGGCCAGACTCCAGGGGTCGTCCAACCATCCTGATGGCAGGGATGCCCAACCCCGCAGGACCCCTTCCTCGGCATCCCTGCAGCTGCAAGTCGCTGTGACTCTGGCCTGTTGAGTTCTGCCTTGCGTTGCTGGGAAGTCTGTCTCCCCGGGGCTCACCCAAGACCAATTCAGCCCTTGACCTCCTAGCAGCCCCTCAGATATTTAAAAACAGCCTGTCTGGGCTCAGCAAGTATCACGTATCGCATGATTCACTTCCGGTGTTCTGCTTCTACTTCCTTCCTTCCAAATGTGCTCGAGTTGGCTTTGTCCCCAGTGAGGGGGCGCTTCTTGGCAAACATGGGACCCCCTCATTCCGGAAGCGGCTTCCGTTTGTGCATCTTACAAAGCACGGGCTTTCCCGCAGCTCCACCACAGTGACTGGTGGAAGGCTGAAGGGAACTAAATGCTCAAGCTTCTTTCCCCTGCGTTGAGACCCCACGCACTCTACACCCCTGTCCACCACCCTCTGGAGAAGGATGCACCTCCAAGGACCAAAAAACCTGCACGTTAGACCAACGTGAGGTCAGTGGGTTTGATATTTTCACTCCCTGTTCCAGTCTGTTGAGAGCGTAGGTCCGGTCACCCTCCATCAGTCTACGCCTCCCATCTCCACATGTGAAAAGTGGTCATTGATCAGCCAGTTTGAGGCTAAAGAGCCGGCCTTGCACCCCCAGATCCGTCCTCCATCCTGACTGCACCCCATTCACCAGCACCCTCCAGTAAGAGCTGACCGACCGGTCGTCCTGCACACATTTGCTTGGTTTTCATCTGGTTTTTACACGGCATCCCTCCTCCTCGGTCTTCCCACTTCCAGAGGTGCGGTCTGGGCATTCGTGACTTTCAGAAGCTCCCCAGCTGATTCTGATGTGCTGCTCGGGCAGGAGAAGGCATACAAGCCTAAGCCAAGTGTAGCCGCTCGGGGCCGCAGGGTTAAGAAGTACATGAGAATGAATGTACATGTAGCACTGGGCCGGTATACAGTAGGTGCTCATTAATGATCAGAGTAGTAAGCACATCAGAAACGAGTTGAAGTCAGTGTGTCCTGACTTATCACTCCAGTGGCCCCTTTTCTTGTTGGCATCCCAGCACACCCTCAGTACCTTATTCGAGAATTTTGTCTGGGTGCGGGTGAGCTCTCCTTTTGGGGGCAGCTACAGACTTGGGTCTTCGTGAAGGTGTGTGTTGTAGATGTGTGATGAGGACGGATTTATGTTTTATCCGTTTATATTAAACAATGTTTAACACCATTTTTAAATAAGTAGCTATTTACTTTCCTTTTCAACCTATTCAGCTTTCCACAGAGCACTTTACTGTGTCACTGTGCTCTCTTGACTGCATTTTAGAGAATTCTTTATTCCAAGTGAGGAAAAAGCGAGTTAAAGTTGAGGCCAGTTTACCTGTTCTCAATTTTTCTGGCTGGGCAACACCACGGTGGGCAGAGTCCGCACCACTGGGGCAGGAGGGGAGAGCAAGAACCCTGGTGCACAGCGCGTCAAAAACTGCTTCATATTCTAATATTTTCGGGGCACCTGGGGGGCTCAGCCGTTCAGCGTCTGCCTTCGGCTCACGTCGTGATCTCAGGGTCCCGGGATCGAGCCCCGCATCGGGCTCCCTGCTCCGCGGGGGGCCGCTCCACCCTCTCCCTCTGCCCCTCCCTCCAGTTGTGTGTGTGTGCTCGCTCACTCTCTCTCAAATAAATAAAAATCTTTTAAAAAATATTCTAATATTTTTGTTTTTTATTTCTACACTAAAAATAATGGCGTTTGGGGGACATTTTGTGTTCCAAATAATCTGTTCGTAATACTTGACACTCTTCTCCCAGCATGGGTGATCTTCATTTATTTCTCCAGAAAATGCAGGTGAGGTGACTATTTCTAGAACTTACCTCTTTAAATGCTCTCAACCGCTGGAGTGTTTTTTTGCGTTCCTGGTTTATCCATTCTCTTTTCTTTTGCTCCTCTTCTTTCATCTTGTCTCTTTTCTGTATTTAAAGAAACATATGTTTGTACATTTCTCAAAGTAGAAGTCTTGAGAAAGAAAGGGTCCGTGACCTGACGCTGGCGCCTGCCCCCGCCCGACTCCCGTGCCCCCTCCGCAGGCTGCAGGGCTACACTGCAAGCTCCCCAGGAACAAGCCTGCCCCCATGCAGGGCAGGGGAGTTCCACTGTCCAGATTTAAGCCAGTGTGTCACGTGAGGCAAACAAGACATGTTCTCTTCAACCACTTACCACCTGGATACTGTGATGCTGATGAAAATGTTTCCTACTGTCTTCAGCCAACTGCAGTCGGAGCCGATGATTCTCTTTGCACTGATCCTGGGGGAACAAGACAAGTCACCTGCACGTTGTGTTACCGTGGGCTCTAGCAGAGCAGTTCAGCAGAAGGAGGCACTGTGTGCTGTCATGTGAGGTATTCATTCTCAGGAGTTTCTGGCGTGGCTCCGGGGTCCCGCCTCCCCTCAGTCACGGGGCCCTTGCTGACAGGCTATTTACGGGGATCGACGGCACCCGGTGGTAAGGACCACAGCTGATTCAGTGCCGTGAAAGATGGAAAAGCAAAGCCCCCAAGTGGAAATGAGGGGACACACAGGCATCCCCTGTGCTGAAATGGCATGTGTCCTAAGAATCTGTTTCCATGTGATTGTTTTAAACACATCTCCCCATAATATTACAACAGTAATTACATTTCCGAACATACCTACACAACCATATCCAACCCACAAATACCTAGAAAATTATATTAAAAACTGTGGTTTAGGGCGCCTGGGTGGCTCAGTCGTTTAGCGTCTGCCTTCGGCTCAGGTCATGATCCCAGTGTCCTGGGATCGAGCCCCACGTAGGGCTCCCTGCTCAGCGGGAGGCCTGCTTCTCCCTCTCCCGCTCCCCCTGCTTGTGTTCCCTCTCTCGCTGTGTCTCTCTCTGTCAAAAAAGAAATAAAAATCTTAAAAAAAAAAAAACCAAACAAACTATATTTTAACTGTGTTGAATCATTCTTGGTATATTACCTTTTATGTAATCATGGAGTTTTTAAAAATTAAGAAAAAATCACTCCCAAATATAAGGATTGATATGAGCTGAATACTCTTTTTTTAGATTTAAAAAAAAATTTTTTTAAGTCCTCTCTACACCCAACATGGGCCTCAAACTCACAACTCCAAGATCAAGAGTTGCATGCTCCACTGACTGAGCCAGCCAGGCGCCTCGTTATTTCTAATATTCTATAATCAATAATTTACAATAGAATAAATCTTAGAATGTACTATAGCTGATTATTAGACGTTTCTACCTACCATGATCTTTAAAATACCTGTGTATACAGCAGGCATTCGACAAAACAGTTGTTGAATGGATTAATCAAAATCTAAAGATTATGGTAAATGCTTAGACCCAAAAGAAACAGAATCCTTTAAAAAAAAACGTAAATATATTTGTAGCCACTGATAGCTATATAAACACACAAGAAGTTAATCGCCGTATTGGTAGAAAGCCTGCCTTTCAATATTTGTATTGAAAAATGCAAGTATTTTCAATACTTTATTTTCCATAGGAGTTGTCCTGGATGGGGAAGGAAAGAGGGCGGGCAGGCCGCCTACCTGCCTGTTCCTGAGACGGGCTCTCCGGGCGCAGAGCCCGCCCCGCTGGGACTCCAGACGCTGGTACTGCCGGCTCAGCTCTCTCACCTGCACGGCCCTGTCCCCCGGCAGCCCCGGCACGCCATCCAGGGCTCCCAGCTCCTCTGGACTTTCACACGGGTCGTAATAGACAACTTCCTCCTCTTTATCTAGAAACATATTGATGACGTTCTTAAAACATGGTTGGGTATAAAAAAATAACACATAAAAATACTTTAAATGTAAGAAAGAGGACTTGTAACCCTACCACCCAGGGAGAGCCACAATTAACGTATACACAGCCACACATTATCAGTAACACAGACTAAGAAGACACTTTCCATGTGATGGAAATAGAATTTTAATGGCAACACAGTATTATCTAATTTGAGCATTCTGTATTGTTAGAATATTCCAGGGTTCCATTATTATCAATTTCACGGTGATGAACATCTGAACATAAAATTGTGTACATTTTTTTTTTTAAAGATTTTGTTTATTTATTTGACAGCGAGAGACACAGTGAGAGACAGAACACAAGCAGGGGGAGTGGGAGAGGGAGAAGCAGGCTTCCTGCTGAGCAGGGAACCCGATGTGGGGCTCGATCCCAGGACCCTGGGATCATGACCTGAGCCGAAGGCAGACGCTTAACGACTGAGCCACCCAGGTGCCCCGACGTTTTTATTTTTTAAAGATTTTATTTATTTATTTGACAGAGACACAGCGAGAGAGGGAACACAAGCAGGGGGAGTGGGAGAGGGAGAAGCAGACTCCCTGCCGAGCAGGGAGCCTTACCTGGGACTCGATCCCAGGACCCTGGGATCATGACCTGAGCCGAAGGCAGTCGCTTAACGACTGAGCCACCCAGGTGCCCCCTGCATACATTTTTACTACTTCTTTAGAAGATGAATGTCAAGGCTCTTGATAATCAGCATTCAGTGGCCCTCCAGAAAGGCAACCTACATTCTACCAACAGTGTGGCGTTAAGATGCCTTAAAGATATTAAATCTTGATTACATACATATTTTTAAAAGTACATGCTGCTTGTAACAAATCCCAGCCCTACAGAACTGAATAAAACAGAAAGTGGAATTTTCTTCTTCCTTTCCCAAACCTTTGGAATCCCATTCCTGGAGGAGAACATTATGAACGATTTGGCATGCATCTTTCTGGATTAACTTTTTAAATAGGATTTTCCCCTAAATATGTAAAATACTTATAACCTGAAATTACTGTAAAGTTTTTTGAATACCTAGGATTAAATTAAATGTTTAGATTCAGTATGAAGAAAATCATTATGCTTGGAGGAACCTGAGGGGGAAAAAAAGCCTTGAGTAAAAGGATACATGATCTTGGATGGGAAGATTCAAAATTGCAAAGATGATTTCCCAAATTAATCTCTAATTTTAAGCATAATCCCAATAAAAATTCCAAGGAGTTCTGGTTTTGGGGGTTTTTGTTTTGTTTTGTTTTTTCACCAAAAAACCAGATTTTTTTTTGGTTTGGAACTTGCCAAAATGATTCTAAAGTTCGTCTGGAAGAATAAAGGAGTGAGAAGAGTCAGAAAACCTCAGGAAAAGCAGAGTACTGAGGGGGAGGTACTTGTCCAGACACTAAAATGTACATCCAAGTACAATGATAAGAACGTATGGGACCAGCACCGGAAGCCACTCATGAACTAGCGAAAAGAATAATGCATAATCAGATAAAAATAAATGTAATAATTCTGGATATGAGATAGGAAGCCAGTCAAAGCACTTGGGGAAAATGTTTTCAAAATCAGTGACTGGGACTACCTAGCAATTTCGGGGGTAGGTTAGATTCCTACCTCACATCAAAATTAATTTAACCTGGATTAAAGAGCTAAGTGTTTTGTGTTTTTTTTTAAATCACAAACATACTGAAAGAAAACATCAGTAAAATGTTGATAAGTTTGGGGATGAGGAGCACTTCACCAGGTGTAACAACAAACACAGAAAGCAGATGGGACTTCCTAAAAATGAAGTATTTCTGCAAGGCAAGAAAAAGCAAATGACGGGGAGAAATTCTTTGCAACCCAGGACAGATAATAGAGTAATAGCCTCAGTATGGAAAGGGAACATTCCAAAGAAAAATGGGCAAATACCATGGATAGACAGTTAATAAAAGAAATACAGACGGCCAGTAAACATGCAAAATCATGCCTGCCATGCTTGTGATTAAATACATGAAAAGTAGAGGATGTCATTGTTTTCAATCAAGTAGGCAAGAACTTAATGGCGTAAGTGTGGGGAAACAGTCATCATCTGCCGCGACTGTCTTTTTGCACAACCTCAGTCTAGAAGGCCGTTATGTAGTTTGGAATTTGGGAATCAGAAGATAACAGAGGTGAGGAAAAAATGTGCATCGGATGATTATTGTAGCGTTAGCAGGTATGTGTGAACATGCGAAGTCTGCACTGTCCATGACCCAATGATTCCACCTTTGGAAATTTATTCCAAGTAAATAATCTTGGGCACCTGGCTGGTTCAGTCGGTTAAGTGTCTGCCTTCAGCTCAGGTCATGATGCCAGGGTCCTGGGATCAGGCTTCCTGCTCGGCGGGGAGTCTGCTTCTCCCTCTCCCTCTGCCTGCTACTCCCCCTGCTTGTGCTCTTTCTCACGCTCTCGCTCAAATAAATAAATTAAAAAAAACAAAAATCTC